CTGACGAAGACTGGCCCTGGGCTAACATCCGTACCCATCTTCCTCCACTTTATATGGGACGCTGCCACAGCATGGCTTGCCAAGTGGTGCGTCTGTGTAGACGCGGGATCCAAACCGGTGAACCCCGGGCCACTGCAGCGGAGTGCATGCACTTAACCGCTTGCGCCACCGAGCCAGCCCCTTGAAGAGAGTTTAAAGATCAATAACCTATGTATTCACCCTATAATTTGTGTTTTCCAAGTTGTATCTCAAAATGAATTTTTTTAAAAAAGCAACTTAAATTCAATGGAAGTAGGAGAGAAGAATCAAGATAAAAGCAGAAACTAATGAAAGAGGGAAAAAAATGTACAACGAAGAAAATCAAAAGCAAAAAGTTGACTCTGCAGGGGCCGGCCCCGTGGCATAGTGGTTAAATGTGCGCACTCCGTGGCTGGCAGCCCGCGTTCAGATCCCGGGCGTGCACCGAGGCACCGCTTGCCAGGCCATGCTGTGGCAGCATCCCATGTAAAGTGGAGGAAGATGGGCACAGATGTCAGCCCAGGGCCAGTCTTCCTCAGCAAAAAGAGGAGGATTGGCATGGATGTTAGCTCAGGACTGATCTTCCTCACAAAAAAAAAAAAAAAAAGTTGATTCTGCGAAAAGACAATAAAATTGATAAAACCCTTGTCAAGATTGATCAACAACAAAGAGAGAAAAACACTAATTACCAATATCAGGAATGAAAAAGAAGACTCATTACACACCTTGTAGACATTAAAAAGATAATAAGAGGATGTTATAAATACCTGTACGTCAATCAATGTGACAATTTGCATAAACTGGACAAACTCCTTGGAAAGAACTTACTAAAACTGACACAAGAAGAAAGAGAAACTTGATAGTCTTATATGTATTAAAGAAATGAAATCCATTCTTTAAAACCTTCACATACAGACAAATAACTCAGGCTTGGAAGGCCTAACCAGTAAATTCTTCCAAACGTTTAAGGAAGAAACATAAAAACAAGAATCCTAAACAAAATATTAGCAAATCAAATCTAGTGATGCATAAAAACGATATTAAATCATGAACAAGTGGGCTTCATTCCAGGAACGCAAAGGTGGTTTAACATTCATTGCAGGGGGCCAGCCAGGTGGTGTAGTGGTTAAGTTCACACACTCTGCATCTGCGGCCCGAGGTTCGCGGGTTCAGATCCCAGTCTCAGACCCACACGCTGCTCATCAAGCCATGCTGTGGTGGCGTCCCACATACAGAACAGAGGAAGATTGGCACAGAGGTTAGCTCACCAATAAATAAATAAATAAATAACAACAAGAAAGCATTCATTGCATTTCTTAAAAGGGAGAAAAAGTATTAGAGTATCTTGATAATGCAGAAAATGCATTTGGTGTATAACTGATAGGAAAATGGGCAAAAGATTGCAACAGAAACTTTACAGAAAAGGAGATCCAGATGGCCAGTGATCACTTCCAACCCCTCAGCCCTAGATATAGATGTGTTTCTTGTCTGTGTTCCCACCACGAAGACAAGGGCTTTGACCATCTGGGACACCTCTGTGCCCTAGGACAATGGCTAGCAGATGGTAAATGCCGCATTCCTATTTGATGAAGGGCACTGCAGGTAGAGAAGCACGCACACAACTTCGCGCATCCACGACGCCCACTGACTTGTACCATGTACACACCCATGTCCACAGGCACGATGGCCCAGGCTCGGGCCCCCAGGCTGGAGTTCCTACTTACCAGCCACATGACGCCAGGCTCATGACTCAACCTCCCTGAGCCTGAGTCTCCTCAGCTGTGAACAGGGGTAGTTCTGGCCATCAGAGAGCCGCCGTGCAGAGCAACCACACATTTCCAACATGCTTGTCCCCAAGGGCCCGTGAAGCTGCCGTCACCATCACTGCTGTCACACACCCACTCGGCAGTGCATGCTCACACGTGCGGGAGCACACACACGTGGCTGCTCACACAGGCATGTGCTCACACATGCAGGTGCACAGTGCCCAGGCACACAGGCCATTTCCTCCTGAGTCCCAGAGGGGAGGAAATGCAGCAATTTCCTGGTGAGCTGGCTGGGAGTACAGAGAGCCACTGGGGTCACAGGGGCTGGGAGGAGAGGAAAGGGTGGGGCCGCACCCTAATCCCCTATGAGCCTTCCCCACAGTAGCGTCCCCTGCCCTGACCCTGGACCTAACTCCAGGTCCTGAGATGCTGACTCAGGTCCAGTCCAAGCCCCTGTAACAGTTAGTGATCAGTACGGCTGCCATCTAGGGAGCACCTCCTTTTAGGCCAGGCAAGCTCCATGGCCCTACCATGAGGGAAGTGCCAACATGAGCCCCATTTCACAGATAGGGAAACTGAAGCTCACAGAATGCAGGAACTTGACCAAAGTCCCTGCTGTCCTCTGCACTGACAGTGCAACTCATTGACCCCTGGATGGGTCTGGAGCAGTGACAAGACCCAACTCTCGGGGGCCCATCCCCATCCTCACCTCTGAAGCCCAGTGCCAGCCCACACCCCAATGCCCAGAGGGTGAGCACCCTGGGCCCACCAGCCTCCTCTACAACTACTCATGTGACCAGTAAGGCTCTGGCCTTTACAGGCCGACCCTGGGGGCTGGACAAGCATTGGGGTCCAGGGAGGGGGGTGGGGGCTCTGGGAAGACCCCACCCCTCCAGCAGCCCTGGAGAGTTTCCACCCCTGCAGGGGCAGCAGAGGATGACGGTCCCAGCTGGGCCTGCTCGCTCTGTGACATCAGGCAGGTCCCTTCTGTGCAGCCCTAGTGTCCTCATAAATCAAGTGGAGCAATGAATTCGGCTGGATTCTGGGAGGAGCAATGAATCCTCCCACTGAGGGTCCTGTGGGAGGGCAGGCATTTCTGGGCCACAGCAGACAGATGTCACAAAGCCTGAAAGTCACCACTGACCCTGAAGCGCTTCCCTAGAAGACAAGCACTTACTCGGAGCCTCAGAACACCCAGTCTGCACACAGGCCTAACCCACTGGGACATCCCACTGGAAGATGACCATCTAGAGGGGAAGGGACCTCACTGTCACCGTGTGTCTACTGTATGTCCACTAGGCGGTTCTGGGTCCTCCTTCACACAAACTTTAAGAACCCTCCCCAGGGGCTCTGGCTGCCGCAGAAGGCCCAGTCCCAAAGGAGAAAACCTGGTGCTGATAGGGTAGAAGGAGAGGGGGTCTGGGAGGCTGTGCTGGTGAGAGGAGAAGGCAGTGGGGAAGCTGGGGATAGGAAAGAGGAAGAGTGGGCTGTGGGCGGGCAGCCCCCATCAGACCCCACAGCAGCATGACCAGGGCCCTCGCGGGAGGCATCTTGGCCAGCAGGCCCCCAGCCCAGCTGGGGTCAGACCTCCTGTTCCACATCTGCTGGGGCCAGCTCCAGGTTCCCTCCCACTCCTGGCTTCTTAAAAAAGAAGAGGAAGTGGAGAGTCCTGTGTGACAAGCACACAAAACACTGAGGAGAAACCACATCCGCTCTCCTCATCAAGGGAGGGCTGCTGGGAGCACACAGCTCAGAGCAGAGACACCAACCTGGACTCTCATGTGCGCAGCAGGGCATGCCATGGAGAACCCCCAGACAAAGACTCAGGGAGACACAGTGCGCCAACACTCCCTCTCAGAGATACATGGCAGCAGCCCCCCACTCCCGGCAGCCGCGTTCCTGTCAGTGGTCTCTGGGGCCAGAAGCCCCTGGCCCTGTCTGCATCTTTGCAACTCTGGGTTCAGGTGGGCACAGTACCTCTGCATGTTCTTCAGAGCATGGTGGGGCCCACTCCCCTTCCATTGCTGGGAGCCCCCTGGGGAGACCAAGCAGCCTGTCCCCCACTTGTCCCTGAGCTGCCATCCTCAGCCACTGTCATCCTAGAAGGAGCCCTGAGGGAGGGGACAGAAAGGCCTGAGAAGAGCCCAGAGGACCAGGTCAGGAGCGGGTAGGGCAGGGACAGAAGGACAGACAGACAGATGAAGGAAGCAAGGAATGAATGAAAAGGTGAATGAATGAAACAGAAGGAGAAAGCATGCAGGAGGGGTGAAGCCAGGACGAAGGGGGCACAGAACACCATCTGCCCAGTGGCGCCTTGGGCTGGGACCTGGCCACACTCCCCTGGCTCTGGGACTGTCCCTTTCAGTTTACAAAACACTTCTGATCCTGACAGTGGCCCATGAAACAGATATTCCGGGAAGCAGACCCAGCTGGCAGGGAGGGGGACGGTTGCCCAGACTTCTGCAGGCCCATGGGGAGTGGGGGCAGGGGCCAGGAGGGGCGTCCCGCCATGTCCCGCCCTGGTGGGCAGCGGAAGCCTCCCATGGGCTGGGCTTCCTGGAAGAGGGTTGGGAAACGCCAGCTGGGGCGCCTCTCCCCTGCCCCCCTCACCCCGGCCGCCAAACATCAAAGAGTCACTCCGTCTTGCTGCTGGCCTGGCCCGAGACCCCGAGCCAGGGAGGGGAGGCTGTGGGGGCCGTGGATCCGGCAGGAATGGGTTTCCCAGGTCCGGGGCCAGGGTGGGAGACTGGCCCTGGGCAGCACTGAGTGCACCCCAGCAGGCCAGCACTCACATACGGAGCCCCTGAACCCCCTCGCCCAGGCCCCTGGGAGAAGACCCCAGCCTTGGAAAACTGTCATGGCCTCTCTGAAGGGGCTAGTATTGGTCATCCCGTCAGCCTGGGCCAGATCAGTGACATTGCCGCAGTGCCCTCTCTGGCCGCCTGAGCCCTGGAGCTACGGATAGACTCACACATCACCTCCACTCTGCCCACACTGTCGTCACCCCAAACCCCCGTCTGTCCCCGTGCACGCCTGCTGCCTGCTCTGTGCAGGGGCCTTGGGGCTGCTCTCGCGCTGAAACCCAAACCCACGCGGCCCCCACATGCCAGCATGCACACACGTGTGCCTTCTCCACGCTCTCGCCCCTGGTCACCGAGCCTCCGGGAGGGGCCCGCCGCCGAGGGGCCACCCAGCTCCTACCCACCTCTTACTCACCGCCCAATGTCCGAGCAGACCTTGGAGTCAGCGGCGACCGCAGCGTGGGCAAAGGCCTGGGGCCCACAGTGGGCGTGGTGGCGAGAAAGGACCACGGCAGGCACAATGATGGCCAGGGCCAGCCCCAGCCCCAGTAGGACCATGCCAACCATCGTCCCACGACTCTGGGCCATGGCTCTGCGCCCCAGGCGGAGGGGGGATGCAGGTGGGCAGACAGATGCACAGACAGATTCGTGGATGAATGGACAAGAAGATGCGCAGATGGGCTTGCAGATGATTGGACAAATGGACAAATAGATGGGGGCCAGAGACAGACAGACAAATGGATTGGCAGACAAGCCAGATAGCTGGAGAGAGGATAATAAGAGACGGACGGTCAGTTAGACACTGGACAGGACGGGATTACAGATGGATGGACAGAAGGCAGGTTCACAGATGAACAGCAGGCAGCCAGGCAGACGGTGGGTGTACGGACCGACGGCGGTGGCGGCGGGGCTGCGGCCCTCCTGGAGTGCTTCTACAGAGGCAAAGCTGGCCACACGCCTCAACCTCCAGTGTTCAGCCCATACTCTGGGCCCTGGCGGGCGGCCAGGCAGCAGGGCGTTTAAGGGGAGTTTCTCTTCCAGAGAGGAGAGAGGAGCAAGCGGCTGCTCGCCTTTAACTCCCTCACTGCCGTTCCCACGGCCCACCCCCAGCACGCCTTGACGGTGCAAACGCCCCTCCTGCCTACCAGCCGCCCACCTGTCCCACAGGTGCCCAGGGCTACCCCATCCACTCGTGCTTGAGGACTTGGCGCCTGCTGCCCCCAAGGGAGTGGGGGTGCAGGGCTCCCAGGGTCCCCATGGCCACTCCTGGGTTCCCAGCAAAGCCAAGGTAGCAGGGCTCAGGCCGGCCGGGTCCCCTCCCCGGATCAGGCTCAGAGGGGCGAGGGTACCAGGATGGAGCCTTGACCCCAGCCCTCTTGGCGTGGCCCAGCAGCAGCTCGTCTCACCATCCCCAGAGCCAGAGGATACTGGGGGTCTCTGGAGCTAAACAGGTCAGAGACAGAGGTAGGGGGGACTCAAGGTGAGTCACTCAGAACCTTGGTTCAATTCCCAGCTCAGACTCAGCCTGGCCTGAGGGCAGGGGAGTAGGGTGACCTGGGGGCTTCCCAGTCTGCTTAAGGGGCAGGCTGACTCAAGAGCACCAGAAGCCTGGGACTACAAGACTCTTTGTGTGGGGAGTGCAGACAGGGCGTGCGTCCAGCCCTTGGCACCCAGCGCCCACCGGACCATCCACCCCTGAGGCCTGCTGTCCTGGAAATGCCATTGTGGGCCTCCGGGGAGTGAGGCTGCCCTTCCGTCTGCGCGTCTGCCCCTCCCTGGCTGTGTCTGCTTCCCTGTGTCCATCTGTGCTACTCCTGTTATGGCAGTGCCTCCTCTCCTAGGGAGACTGTCCTGGGCCCTGCCCTGCTCAGGCCTCAGGATGCCCAACTGGGAGGCAGCTGGGGGAGTGGGGGTCCACTGAGGCACCCCCTTCACCAGACTCAGCACAGGCACAGGGTGCAGGGTCCGCAGGCTGAACCCCACACAGTGCCCTCAGCCTCGGACACTCTTGCCACTTCCTTCCCAGTTGAGCATTACCCTCCCCATGTCTCTTTACACCTCCTGGTACAGCAGAGAAATCGAGGTGCAGGTGGTCAGCCTGCACTGGAGAGGCTGCTGGGGGGGCTCTCCCCTAGGCCACTTCCCACCACTGCCTCATGGGGTGGAGGGGGCTGCTGGCACGTCCCCCCGCCCCCACCCGCCCCCCACGCCGCCAGTGACATTGCTCAACCAGAAACCAAAGTGCATTCCTGAGCCAGGGCCAGCCCACCCGCTGGGAGACAGGGACAGTGGGGTCGGCAGAGTTGGGGGTGGGACATCCCCCCCCTCCCCAGCCATTGTCGTCAGGCAGAGGCCAAGATACAGGGACTGCTGGAGCAAAGGCCCAGGAAAGGAATGGACATCACAATGGCCTGGCCAGAGATGTGACAGAGGAGGCCCAGCCAGGAAGGGCCCTGAATGTCCTTGTCCAGGGAGTGAGGGTCAGGAGATGATGGGGAGGAAAGAGAAGGGAAACCAATTCCCCAGCACCCAGGGGTGCCTTCGGCTGAGACCCATGGGGCCTAAGGAACCAGGTGCACCCTGCCCACCTTCCGGGGCCCAGGGAGCCTCAGGGCCAGCCCCCACCTCCACCAGGAACAAGGCCCACCCCTCAGGCCTCAGTTTCTCCCCTGAAAATGGACCATGGCCTTTTCTCTGGGGCCAAAATGAGGGCTAAGGAGTGACCTGCATACCCCACTAGCCCAGCCTCCATCCTCTCCCCCGGGGACCCCAGAGATGCCACCCTCCAGGGCTCAGGGCTCAGACGGGGGCGGGGGGCACTCTCTGCAGGCCAAAACCCCATCTCCCTGTGTGCACTTTGGAAGCCCCAGGTTTTCCTGCCTCATGAAAGAGAGCCCAGACCTGGCCTCTCCTGGCCCCTGTGCCCCTGCCCTCAGGGGCCCCACTTGTGCTCACTGCTCAGCAGAGAGATCTGGCTGTTGGGCTGTGATCCCTCTCCCCTGCCCGCCTCCCCCAACCTTTCCCAGCACCCTCCTCAGGCACTACAGCTGTGTGTAAAGGACAACTTAGCAGACCCCGAGGGGGGCTTCCTTCGGTGGAGGAAGCAGGATGCTGTGTTGGGCAGTCCCTTTGGGACCCGCCCTCTCTGGGCTGAGCTCCCGGTTGCCTGCCGGCCCCAGCCCTGACCCTCTGGGATCTGGGAACCTCTTCCAGTTCTCTGTTCCCTGAGAACTGGGCCTCCTTCTGGAGCTGAACACAGCTTGGGTTTCACTCTGGGTTTGTGTTGGAAAGCCCCCAGGGCCTGGCTCTGACTAACATGTTTCGCTCCAGCCTCTTGCCCAATCGCACTCCTCAGACTCAGCTTCACCTCCGTGTGTCTTGGGCAGGGTGAGCTGGGACACCCACTGGACTGAGAAGGTATGGGCATTCCCAGCATCCGCGGGCCGCTCTCTGCCCAAGCAAATGCCAGGGCCATTGCGCCCCCTGGTGGCCGACACTAGGAAGTGCGGCTGGCCAGCCCAGGGAGGGACGGCCTGGCCCCTGGTTCTGGGGCTCAGAGTGAAAAAAAAAAAACAGTGCTTGGCATGGGCCTGCCCTGCGTGTCCCCCCCACCCCAGCGGCCGGGCTCTGGTGAAAATGCTGAGGCTAGCTCCAGGGCCTGAGGTGTGAAGACCTCTGACTCCCATCTGCATCCTTCCCTGTTGGACGACACCATTTCACACACAGGATGCTGAGGTCCAGGGAATCGGGAGCCAGCTGGCAAAATGGCCCAGAGCCTGGCGCTGTGGCCCTCGTTTATTGCACTGCTTTGCCACTCACAGGGGAAGCAAGTCCCCCAGAGTCCCACTCCCAGCCCTGGTGGGCATCTCATCCCTGGGTTGCCAGTCAGCCTCGCCCACCCTGAGTACTCAGTAGCCAGCAGGCTCCCCGCCTTTCCTGGAGTCTGAAGCAGCTGCCCAGCCACTGGCCGTGTGGACGATGGCCTGCACCACAGCGATGAAGGTGGAAGTGACCTCTGTGTAGTGATGCCGGGTCTTCAGGGCTGCAACCACTGCCTGGGGGTAGGAGGGGAGAGAGAGGCCTCAGTGGGGCCCCAGATGCCATCTGAACCACACCTGTGTGGTCATGGGCTTCACAGACCCAGACAGTGCCATTTCCGGCCAAGTGACCAGAAAGAGCAAGTTGGGGGCAGCTGGGCCTATTGAGTCTCTTCGAGCAGATGGCCTGGCTCTCACTCCAGGGGAACTCAAGATGGCCCAGGCCACGGGCACAAGGGTCATCTATCCCAGGCAGAGGACACCAGCCATCGTCTACTCTGTGATGACTCAGGAAATCCAGGCCCCCATCCCAGGACACCTTGTGGCCCCCCACTGTGACTTGGTTTCCCCACCCGCCCCACCTCATCAATGTCCTTTTCCAGCGTTGTGGTGTTGGGCAGAAGCTGGTTGTGCAGCCGGGGCTCTTCCACTGCCCGCTTCACGTCATAGCCGAACCACAGGCTGTGGATAATGGCCTAGGGGTGGTGGTGGGGATGGGGTCAGCATGGCCTGGGGCAGGGGCTGGGGGGACAGAAGGGTGGCACATACCAGCGCAGTGGCCGTGGTGATCTGCGTGCCCCCAGCAGCACCCACCACCATGCGGACCTGGCCATCCCGGCCTACAATGATCGCCGGGCACATGGATGAGAGTGGCTGCTTCCCTGTGGCCGGCAGGCGGGCAAAAAAGGACAGAGATGATGGTCAGCTGCCTGCCCGAGACACCAGCCCCCACCCCTCCCAAGCCCCCCACCCCACACCTGGCTCGATGAAGTTGGCCGGTGAGGGGGGCACCCCAAACTCGTTGATGATGTTGGGGGAGCTGAAATCATCCATCTCGTCATTGAACAGGATCCCGCTGACCAGTGATTGCACCTTGGAACCGAAGCTACAGACAGGCTGGGTCAGTCAGCTTTGACCGCCTGGCCCCCACCCACCCACCAAAGCTCCAACTTGACCCCCATGATAAGCTCGGGGCAAGCGCTCTACTAAGGTGGGGCCTCAGTTTCCCATCACGAAAGGGGTTGATGGAGCCCCCTTCTAGGACAGGCAGGCAGCCCTTGGCCCACCCAGGCCACCTGGCAGCCCCTACTAGAGGTTGATGGTGCTGGTGGCCGACACGGCACTGCCGTCCTCCGCGACCACGGACAGGTGGGCGGTACCCCCGTCGTCCGGTGCGTAGAACTCAGGCTCGTAGTAGGAGGTCGGGTGAGTGGTGTCGTCAGAGATCCGGGCCCGGAGCTGGGCGGCAAAGAACTCGGAGCTCATGTTGTGGATCACCTGCCAAGACCCCAGAGCTGGCCTGAGGAGGTGGGGGTGCAGGGAGGGGGCACAGGCTTGTGCGAGCAGCTCTCAGGAAGCCCCCAGTCACGGCTCTGACCACAACTCTCCTATACCCTAAATCTCACGTGGCCCATCTGACCCCCTCTCTCACCCCCTGTCTCTGTTGCACTCCAGCAACTCTGAATGTCTGTCTCTCTGTCCCTCAAGCCTCACTCTCGCTGCATTCAATCATTCATTCATTCAGTGAGCTTATAGTGTGTGCCCAACACGGGGGGATCCACAGGGAACCAACACAGTTCCCCGCCCTCACATCAGAGAAGACAAAGGCAGGCAGGGATGTGCTGGAAAGAACAAGCCAGCTAAGGGGGATGGAGAGGGACAGATGAGGGTGAAATGGTCAGGGAGGGCTTCTCAGAGGAGATGACATCTGAAGTGAGCCCTGAATGAGACCTGGATGGCAAATGCAAAGGCCCTGAGGCAGGCCTGTGAGGACAGGCAGGCAGTGAATGGGGTTAGGAAGAGAGGAGGTTGAAGATGCTGGAAGGGCCACTCCCATAGGTCCTCATAGGCCCCATAAAGACTTTGGCTTTTGCTCTGAACCACACGGGCTTGGGGCAGAGGTGTGAGCAGGCCAGTGGGTGTTTTCACAGGATGCTTCTGGTGGCCGTGTGGGGAATAGAGTGGAACCCAGTTGGGAGGTTATGACCTTGACCAGGGGAGAGATGATGGTGGCTTGCCCAGGTAGGAGAGAAAGAGGAGTGGATGGTCCCGGAGTCTTCAGTCCAGAGTGGCTGTTAACTGGGGAGGTGAAATTGCGGAACAGGCAGTGCTGGGGACAGTCGGGAACTTGAATCTGGACAGGTGCCCTTTGGACACCAAAGAGCTGGCTCAGGTGGGTGGGGGACCCATGTGTGTGGAGTTCACAGGCACGGGTGGGCTGAGGGATAGACGCGGAGATGCCGGCCTCGGGTGGCTGCTTAAAGCCATAGCCTGGACAGGGTCCCCAGGGAGGCGAGGGCAGACAGAGGAGAGGACAGGCAGAGAGAGAGGAGAGGAGGGAGGCACCAGCGAGGAAGAGCCTCGGGGGCCGAGCAAAGGAAATGCCTCCAGAAGTTTCCAGCAACACCCCACGGATTAACTGACTAATCCAAAGCGAAAACGTTCTGCCTGAATCTACTTCCAAGGAAACAGAAAGTGAAGTCCAGGATGTGAGACATTCTGGAGACAACAGCCCTGGGCTTTAAAAACCAACACAACAGCTGGCGGGCCTCTTGTAGGTTAGGAGCCTGGAGATTCCTAACAGCAACTGTAAGGTGTGAGCTCTGTGGGCGCTGGTCCTAAAAGACACCGGGACCCTTGGGGACACTCCAACGCAGGCGTCTGAAGGTCATGTGGCCTCGATGTCAGTGTGTGGAAGTCCTCACTCTTAGGAGATACAATCTGAAGTACTGTATCTGTGACTTACTGTCCCCTGACTCAGGGGACAACATGGAGATGGAGAGAGAGATGGAGCGAGACAGGGGAGAGGAAGGAAATGTGGCAAAATGTCCACAACTTCACAAAACACAAAGTTGAGGCAAGAAGGAGGAGGTAGCGAATTGTGTGAGATGCTGCTGAGAGGGGCCCGAAGGGGAAACTGAGGCTGGATGTGGGGGCGGGGGGATCTGGCGGCGTGGGTGTGGAGTGAGGAAGGGCAGAGCCCGAAAGGAGGGGCTCCAGAGAGGACGGAGCCAGCCAAGTTTGCTCTGAGGGTGAGCCGAGGAATGGGGCAGCAGCTGGAGGGTTCTGGAGCGACAGCAGCATGCACCTCTCTTGGGAATGACCCATCCAAAAGGGCAGAATGGTAACCCAGGAGGCAGAGCGGCGTTGTAGGAAGGGTGTGCCGAGTCAGTGAGGGGTGAACAGAAGGGCTGGCCCGAGCCGGGAGGGAGGACAGAGTGGGTGCAGGGCAGTGGCTTTTGTCACTTCAGGGACACGAGACACCAGATCACTGGCTGCAGTGACGAGTAGTGGGTACAAAATTGTCTTCAGGTAGAAGAGACCCTGGAGGGCAGAGGGGCTGCTGGACAGCTGAGGCCCCGCTTGGGAGGCACAGATCAGTGTGGGGCCTCTGCAGGTCTACCCCAGGATGTGGGGATCCATGTAGGTAAGGAGGGACGTGATGGGGGTCGCAGTGGGGGCCCATGCTGGAGCTGGGGCACCTGGCAGTGAGTGGATTGGGCGGTGCAGGGCCTGGGTGGGGATCTGGGAAGCGTTAGCTCCTGGGTGTGACCAGGGGGCAGGTGGCTGAGGCCTCTGCCTCCCTGGAATGCTGGGCCTCTCCCCCTCATCCATCTTCCTCATCACTCCTGAGGGCTGCCACATCCCCCCGTGTGTTCCTCACCTCAGCACCGACAACTCCAGAACCCTCTAGGCCAAATGCACAGCATGTGCAAAGGCCCTGAGGTGGGAGTGTGACCTGAGCAGGGGTGGGGGCACTAATAACTCATTACCAAGTCTGTCACTCTGTGAGTAAAATGAGGCAGAGGCCAGGACTCGGGGTCACCAGTCCATCCAAGCACATAGTAGGACTGACACCAAAGTTGGTGGTGGGAATGGATTAATAAAGCATGCATGAGCCTGGGGTGGCCCTAGGGAGCTCTCCCGGCACCTCCATGGCAGGCCCCCTACCCATCTGGGGCCAGCCGCTGCTCCTCACCTCAGTCACATCAACGAACTTGGGGTCCCCAAGCAGGGTCCTCTTGGCATAGGCGAACCGGAAGGCCTCCACGATGCGGTGATAGGTCAGGCCCTTCTTCTCAGGTGTCTCCACGCTCTCCGGGGAGAAGTTGTACCCTGGTTGGACAGAGCCGGGTGCACGTTGGCAGCCCCAGGGCCCTTGGGACATCCCAGCTCGGCCAAGACAGCTGGGTGCCCTGGGGTGGGCTCACACCTCCCTGAACCCTGGCCCACCTTGAGAAGGGTGACATTTAACAATCAACAGCAGTGGCCACTTAGGAGGCAGGTAAGGGTGGAACAAGGCAAGGGCCTGGGCGTCACATGTCCAGCCAGAAGGCTATCCAGTCCACGCGGTCGCAGATGAGGGCTTAGATTTACCAGAAGTGCTCTCTGGACCTGCCCCTGGCCGTGAACTTCCAGCACTGGGTGCCTGGGGCAGGCCAGATCCTCACCCCTGAACTTGTGCAAAGGCTGATCTCACCCCCAGGGACACCGCTCGCACCTCTCTCCCTCCCAACCACTCCTCCTCCAGCCCCCAAGCGCCGCCCCTCACTCCGCACTGCCCCCTGCAGGGCCACGGCGGGACAGCTCACCTTTGAGGATGTTGAGGATGAGGGCCAGCACGGGCCCACTGAGCGGGGCGCTGGGCATATAGAGCTGGGCGTCCCCAAGGCTGATGCTCAGTGGGTCCTCGATCAGCTCTGCACGGTAGTTGTTCAGGTCCTCGGCTGTCACAATGCCCCCTGCAGTGGGACAGCAACTCAGTGGGGGGGGCAGGGAGGGTGGACGCGGGGATGGGGCTGCACTACTGGGGGGCCACGGCCATCAAGCTGAGAGCCCTGCCCATCCTGGAAGGACCCACCCCTCTGCCTCCCCACTGGCCCCCCAGCCTCTCTGTCCTCCCCGACAGTGCCATGTCCCCACGGCCAGGCCCGGGTCAGCCACCCTCAACCTGCTTGCCCTGCTGGCATCCCAGTTTGCCATCCCTCTTGGTGGCCAGAGGGTCTTCTCTAAGTGGAAAATATCTGCTTCCATCTCCCCCCTCTCAGCCCCCTCCTCCCGTGACTAATGGGTGGGTGGAGGGAGGCTCGTAATTCTCCTGGGAAACAGCTCCAGACAGACGAGGTATTTACAGGCTAATTTCTGGCATCAATGTGCTGATCACCCTCCTCCCTGATACATCGACAAAAAATAACATATGAAGCAGGCCTCAGCTCGGGGATGGAGAGACAGCATTGGGCTCTCAGGCCCGAATCCATCAGAATCTGTCCCACAACATCTCGACCGCAGGACTCTGCATGCAGCCCCTCCAATGCCTCCTCACCAAGTCCACCCTCATCCCCTGTGACTCTCCCAGAGAATTAAAACCCTCTCTCCGGGCCTTAGCTTGTTCCCTCTGCCAGGAATGCCCTTCCTCTCTCTGCCTACAAAGTCCAACCTCATCTGTAGCTTAAGCATCACCTCCTCCAGGAAGTCCTCCCAGGTCTGCACTTTAGTGCTTCCCCAGCCCCAGCTCCTGCCTATGCCTGAATTTACCTTCCGGGGTCTTTGTCTCCTGCACGGTCTCTCTCGGCTTTGAACTAACCAGGAGCTGTGGATCCATGTGGCCTGTCACTGACTGCAACATAGCTATGACCCTCCTCTGCCAGGTGCTTCCTCAGGGCACGGTGCCCAGCCCAGGCAGGACTGGAGGACCTCCTCCCAGGCCCCCGGGGTCACCTGCTCACCAGTCTCCTGGATGTCCTTGACAATCTGGGCTGTGAGGCTCCCGTTGTAGAAGGCCTTGGCACCCTCAAAGGCCAGCGTCTCGTATGTGTCAGCCAGCTTCGACATAGTCACTGTGTCCCCCTCCTGCAGCACCTTCCCATTCCGGCAGAACACCTCGCTGGGGCAAAGGGGCTCCCGTGAGGCAGACAGGTGGGGCGGGCTCAGCCAGACCACCTCCACCCACCCCCCAATACAAGGAGATGAGAACAAGGGGCACTTGGCACCTGTCCACAGGTGAATGGCCCTGTCACTCACGGCTCATCTTCCCGGTGTCCAGCCCATGCCTTCTAGAGTCCCCTGCCACACAGGACACACAAGCCAGGACCCCATGCACCAGGCTCAGAATGTGTCCCCACACAGGTGGGAAGGGGTTTGTGTCTTCTCAGCCCGTCTCTATCAGCACAGGTTCCTGAAAGCGCTCCGCCAGCCACTCATGGCCTGCAGGGACCTCGGCCGCATCTGCCCAGCCTGTGCCCCAGGGCAGGCCGGCGCCCACAGACTTACCACAGCGTGGGGTGCCGCTCAATGGCAGCCTGATTTCTCTCCAGGGCTGCTGCCAAGGCCCTTCCCACAGGGAAGCCCTGGCGGGCCAGCTGGATGCTAGGCTGGAAGAGGCGGGCCCAGGGCAGCCTCCCGTGCCGCTGGTGCGCCAGCTCATAGCCTCGGATCTCACCAGGAACCGCCACTGACAGCCCCCCTGCAGAGGGAGAGGGACATGGTTAGTGGCTCCAGGCAGGGGATATCAGGAGGGATGCTGTCTCGGGCAGCACCCCAGGCACAGTCCCCAGATGGGACCAAGAAGACTCAGGAAAGAAAAGGAGTTTTGAGGTCACATCTGGACTCCGCAGGCAGGAGAGCGGATCAGCTGGGGATGTCTGACACGGGCACAGGAGGCAAAGGCGGGAGTGCGCGCTGGGTTCTGCTGTCCCAGGACCAGACATCTGTGTCTGCAGGTGCCACCATGTCTGAAATCCCGTGCCAGGCTCACAGTTGCACAACGAGACTGTGGGGAAACTCGACCTCTACCATCTCTGAGTTTGAGCCTCCCAGGCCCAAGGCCTCTCATCCCATAAGACTCAAGGGCTCCACCAGAACCTGCCCAAGTCCCCAGTGCAGGCCAGGCCACTCTCAACGCTGGGCTGGTCCCAAGGCAAGGGCCCCCCTTCCTCCTTTCTACTGTCCCAGAACCTCAAATACCAGCCCTATCCCCTCTCTGGGCATCAGTTTCCCCATCTGACAATAAAAAGTTTTGTCTTCCAGCTCTCACCTTCAAGGAGCCCATGACTCCTCTGGAAACAGACCCCTGGGCCTGATTCCCCACAGCCCCCGCTCCCAGGCACCCTCCTGTTTTTCTCCCCTGAGATGACCGGGGCCGTTTTGGCTGCTCCCAGGCTTGGCAGCTAAGGCTCAGGAGCTGCCTCTTCCGCCCCAAAGTCAGGCACGAGGTTCTGAGAGCCAGGTTGTTATGATTGCTGCACATCTGCACGTCTCAGAAGGTCTGACACCCAGCACACAACTCCTCCCATCTTAAATAAACGCTGCCCTGGCCTCAGGCCAATCAAGCTCTCGTACCACTCTGCTCGCCAAGGTCACCAGTGACCCCCACGCCTCCAGGCCAGGATCCCTCTCAACTTCATCTTACCTGACCCAACACTCTCTCCTCCCAGGTCACCTCTATGTCACACCCACCTGGCTCTCCTCATGTCTCCTCTCCTCTGTCCACACTCACTCTCTTGGTGACCTCCTCCAGATCAGAGCTTCAGGTTCCATTTATGTGCTGAAGACTTCCAAATTTACCCTCTGGCCTGGCCTGCTCCCCTGTTGGCCAGATCTGAGGATGCACCCACCCACTTGAGAAAGGCATCCCAAGCTTAACACACCTAAAACCCAACTCCTGACTGTCACCCAAACCCACCCTCCCGCAGTCTTGCTGGTCTCTGTTAGGGGCCACCCTGTCCTTCTAGGTGCACACCTAAAACCCGGGGGTCATCCAGGGCCCCCAGCACTTGTGTCACACCCAAACCATAAGCAAATCCGAGGCTCCACCTTCCAAATGAGTTAGGAACCAGCCACCCACCACCACTCTCCTGACAGATGACCTGACAGGCAGGCGGCTTTCTCCCTGACCCTTCTGCAACAGCCCAAGGTGTCCTGCCAGACATAGGCCAGGTGCATCCCTCCCACTCAAACACTCCAGGGGACCCCACTACCTCTTTCAGACAAGAAAGATGATGACCCACACCATGATGACCCACAAGGTCCGACATGACCTGGGCCATTCCATCCGACCCCAGGTCACTCATCGCAGCCTCACTGGCTCCCACAGAACTCTGTCCCTGCCCTTCCTGCCTGGGTCACTCGCTCTTCCCCCAGATACCTGCACGGCTCCCCCCACCCCACCCCTGCCTCTGGGTCTTTGCTCAGGCGCCCCTCCCTGCCCAGGCCACCCTTGGTAAACCCGCATGCTCTCCAGCCCTTCCCGCCTCTGCCTTCCCGGCAGCATGCGGCACTCGTGTCTGCTCAGCCTCTCTCTTCTCCACCCAGAATGTCAGCCTGACCGGTCCCCGGATTTCATCTGTTGCCTTTATTTTGTACCTCAGCTTGGGGAACAGCCCCTGACACTGTAGAAGGTGCCTAATAAGTCCTAGTTAAATAAATGAATTCCAAGCATTCGTAAGATGCTAAGTGTATAAGATTCCAGCAATCTCACGCTCTGAGTGATTTCATTTCTACACATTCTGAGTTCCCCAGCAAGTATAAAAATTCATAGACTCTGTAGGTTGGAGCAGACTCCAAAGGGGCTGCTCACAGGGCCCCACCCAGAGCCCTGGCCTGAAGGGCAGAGCCCACAGTGGGGGATCAGACCTGCTATGGCCTCTGCGCCCGGCCCCTGCTCCCCTCCAACCTCTTATCCTGCCATCCATTTGGGGGGGGGGTCCTTGGAGCAGCGCCCCCTAGTGGCCACTGGCTTTCCTTCAGCTGCCTGGGGAGCTGGGAGCCTCCTCTCTGCTAAAGGCCAGGTTAGAAAAGAGAGACTCTGCCCCGTACTCCAGAGAGCTATCCCACAAATGAACAAATGAATGAATGACTTGAATGTCTGTTTAGACAGCCTGGGTTCAATCCCAGCTTCAACACCGTCCAGCTGTGTGATATCAGCTGGTTTGCATGACCTTTCTAGGCCTCAGCGTCCCCACCTATAAAACAGGAATCAACACAGTGCTCCTGCCATCAAGGATACAGGGAGGATTCAAGTGGCTCATTGGTGAAAAGGGCTGAGCAGAGGGCTGGTCCCAGTGACCCCAGTACGTGCAAGCTGTTGTAATAATTACTAGCACTAGGTGGCCCTGGAGGGGCCTGAGCAGAAATAACAGAAGGTCCATCCCTTTATTCTCCATGATGATGGTCTTGACCATTCATTATGGGAGGGTGTTATGGGGTCAGGAAGGGATGGGAGGAGTGGGCATCAGCAACTGCCAGAGCTGTCCCTGGCCGCGGACAGGGGTGTGCTCATGCCTTCCCAGGGGCCCATCCCAGCTCTGCATCCATGCCCTGAGCTTATACCTCACCTTCCTGTGACTGCTGCGAGCTGTTGAACATGCTGGCGTAGGCCAGCCCAGGGGCCACCTCTCGGGCATTGATGATCTCAGCTTTTTCTGGAAGGAGAAGAGGTGGGCAGGCCAGATCAACACCAACCCCTCCCCCTGCAGGAGCCCAGGGCCCACCCAGCTGTGCTTGCCCCCAGCCCAAGTCCAGCCCTGGACGACCCACCCCGGCCGTTCCCTTCCCGCTCCCTGTGGGCACTCACGTGTGGTGCTGTCGTAGATGGTGAAGAACAGGCCGCCCCCAATGCCCATGCTGTGGGCGTTCATGAGCCCCACGCACAGCAGGGCCGCGATGGCAGCGTCCACCGCTGAGCCACCCTCCTGCAGCACATCCCTGCCCATGGCATGTGGGGGGAAGTGAGAATCTGTGGGGTCCCCACCCCACATGCACACCCTGTCCACAGGAGGATGGAAGAGGAGTTCTCAGGAGTTTTTGTTTCTTAAATGTAACTCTCAAACTGATGGGCTTATATTTTCCTTGTTCTCAAGCAAACAGATGTACATGACTTTTATAATTGAAAAAACAATTGTTACTTTTTATTAATAACATTTTTTCTGTTTAAGTCTTGAAGTGGGAACTGATCTTTGTATATAATATGAGATAGGAGTCTAAAACAGCATCAAACAGCAAAGGTTATCCAAAGAGATGACACCTTTAGAACTGAGAAAAGGGGTCCAGCTGGGGACGGGGAGACCTGCACCCTGCTCTCACGGTCAGTGTCCCCTTCTCCACTGACCAGAGGCTGATGAGAAGGTCCAAGGAAAGGACACCTCTTGTCCAGACAGCCTGTTTATAGGTGGGGAAACTGAGTCACAGAGGGGCAGAAGTACGGCCCAGGTCGTCTTATGGTGGCTGTCCTCCAGGGCCTGTGTCCCCACTCACCTCCCGATCTCCGAGCACTGCTTGGCGTCCGCGGCCACGGCTGCCCTGGAGTACACATGGGTGAGTTGCCCGGAGGAGGGCAGCCAGAGGCAGAGGCCGATGATGAGGAGCACCAGGGCCACAGCAGCCAGCAGGGCCAGCACCATGTACCGCTTCCTCATGGCTCTGTGGGCACAAGGCGGGAGCAGGTGACCGCCACCAGCCTGGCCTTGGGCACATCCTGACCCCTACCCCCATAGGGCACAGCCCAAAGTCAAGCCTCAGAAATCTGTCCGTGTCTCCTTCCAGCCCAGAACACATGCGGCCTGTCCAACCTTCCGGCCTTTGTACAGGCCATTCCCTCCGCCAGAAGCTCCTCGCCCCATCTCTGCCCTCCTCAATCCTCCCTGCTTATCCTCTGGCCCTATCCTGGTAAGGACCCCATCTCCAGCAGGGATCCCTCCCAGGAGCCCCCAGATTTCGTACGTCCCTGCAGAAGCCTTGCCTGTCTTCTACAGTGGCTGAGCCCTCTACTGCCAAGCAAGGAGCGCCATGAGGGGCAAGCTTGGCCTGAGTCCTTCTGTGTCCCCCACCTCAGCCCAGAGCCCAGCACTGTACATGGGTCCCCCAGAGTGGCCTGCCACAGAGTGTGGGATTCAGCCTCCATGGTGCCCTCAAGAGGGGGCAGTCTCCTCCTGAAATCGTCACATCAGCCGCCACGGGGCAGGGGCGTACCTTCCTCAGCAGATGGGAGCCCGAGCCTTGCCTGGGGAGGTGGCCACGACAGCTGGGAGAGTTTCGCTGAAACGGCCAGTGAAATAACTGGGGTCTCCCTCACGTTCTGCAGGAGACTGTGGCCACAGAATCTGCTCCAGAGAGATGCCCCGACCACGCAGCCTCCTCGTTCTCCTGAAAATCCAGAGGGTGTCCCTGAAGCCGGCTGGGCCCGGCTCTCCCTGGGGAGCTCTGTGAGGTTTCTCTTCCTCCAGATGAACTCTGGAGATGAAGAGGAGGCCGTCAGCCACTCACATGTTGGTATGCATTCTCCCAGCCTTTCTCCCAGGCACAACCAAGAGGGTCTGCACAGAGCAAGGAAGGAACAGCGGGGGCACTCCTGCACAAGGCCGGGCTTCGGTGGCAAGCATATCATGTGACGAAGGGGTGAAGCCCATGTGTGTGCAGCGTGGAGAGGAGCCAGCCTGCTCCGTCTGGGCCTGGACTCACCCCTCCCTGCTTGCTGTGGGGCCTCGGGCAAGTCACTGACCGTCTGTCCAGTGGGAGTGTCAGAGGCGCCCCGCTCGGGGGTGTTGCGAAGATTAAGTAGATTGGAAGGTATGAAGTGCTAGGAAATTGCTGACTACACTGGGCCATGCCGGGGAACGCCCTGGAGGCCTGCGCGTGGCAGAGGGAAGCTGGTCAGCCTCTTGCTCGCTGTTTATTTCCCTGTTGACTTCCTTCCAGGATGTGCAGGGAAGGACAGCAGTGACCCTTGGGGTCCCTGTGGCGGTGGCAGCAGGCGAGGGGTATGACCCCAACAGGGAGGAGAGGTGTGTGGCAGAAGCAGGGGTCCCCCTCTCCCAGACTCAGTACCCTCCAAAAGGCAGATGTCTGCTGGTGAGCCCCGGCTGGGACCTTTCTGGCTCCCTCTGTCCCTTTTCAGAGTGTCTGAACTCCAGGGGCCAGACACGGTGTCCCAGAAATGGGCTAGGAATGGAGTCCCACCCACATGTGGGGGGCACACAGATGCCAACATGGAAGGGCTTTCTCCTCCTGGGCTCAGCAGGTGATCATGCAGCAGACCACTACCCCACGTCTCCAGTAGGATCCAAGCCAGCCCCTCCTCTCCCCCTTGACCACCTTGACAGAATCCAGGCACCACCATTTCCCGCTGGACTCCTGCACAGCCCCCTCCCTGCTCTCCCTCCCGCCAGCATGGCATCGCCTGCTCTTCAGTCCTCCGAAAAGCAGACAGAAGGCTCCCTCCGAGGTGCCAACCAGGCCCTGCCCCCCACCACTGCCCCTGGGGACAGTCCGTGCCCTCCATCCCCTGCCAGGCCTGACAGCCCTCGGGGCACACCCTGGGCCCTGGCAGGGAGGCTGGGTCAAGGTTAAGAGTTCCTGATGGACACAGCTATGCTGGGAGATCTGAGGGACCACAGGAGCCGGGCTGGTAACATATGGCGTCTGTTCCGGACACAGAACTTTCCCGTCACATGCAGTGGGGGGCGGGGCAGACAGGATGGGGGCCAGTGACCTCCTCCCCAGCATAGACGCAGCCACATTTGCCAAGGAGCCACCACAGTCCTGTCCACTGGGCAAGGGCACACCAGCACCTTGGGGGCATGGTCTCATTTCTCCCAGGCTTGGGGCTGTCTGCTGATCCCCTCTTCAGGGCCCTCTTCTCTTCCCTTAGGCCCCTGGGGTAAGCCAGCCATGACCTCCTGAGGTCTGGGCTCCAGCCCACCCTGTCCATCCATCTGTCTGTCCATCCATCCACCCAAGGGCCCAAGTGGGCTCTCCGAGGGGCAGGGGGCACCCGGCAAGGCCAGGAAGAGTGAGGAGGGGGTGGGCAGCACTGACCCTCATCCCCTCCGCCCTGGGCAGGGCAGCATGGAGGCCTGGCCCAGCCCCCCGCAGGCAGACGTCCCCAGCCCTGCGGAAGACACCCTGCTGGGAGACTGGGCTTCCATTTCCCACCCCCCCACCGCACAGTTTTTCTCAAAGACTCACTAAAACAATGTCCAAGCCCAGAGGCCTGGCTCTCACCCAAATCAGTGTCAAGAGGGGAAACCGAGGCCAGAGAATGGGTAGGGCTCAGCACTTGGCCTCCAACCCCGGCCCCCACTCCTCATGACCCTGGTGGGCTTACCTGAGACCGGCGGGTAGCAGGGGCCCAGGAGAGCCCCTGTTCCTCAGAAGACAGCTCTGGGCTGGGGCACTGGCCGGGGAGGAAGAGGCAGATTTGTCTGCCTGGGAAAGTCTCAGCCACAGTGCCGGCTGGGCCCCCCACTCTGAGGAGCCGCCCCAGAGCCACGCCTGCGGCCCCTGCAGAGCTCCTCAGGGGGCCTCAGAACTAGGACTGGGATCTGGGGGTGGGGACCTCCAAGGAAGAGCAGAGGCAAGAAAGGGGCAGGAGGAACTCACGTGCTCACCTAGTCCCAGGGGGGTGAGAGGCCTGCAGGGGGTGTCTGAGGAGGGTAGGGAGCAGGCAGTCCTCTAGGACAGGTCCAGTCTGGCAGGGAGGCCGGCCAGAGGCTGACGTCATGGCAGCATGGAGGTGCCGTGACTCGGCCTGTCACCAGGTGACTAAAGTTCACGCAGCCCTGGGAGGGCCCTGGGCAGGAGGTGGGAGGTGCCATGACAGCAGTGACCCTTGGGGTCTCCAGGGCAGTGGCAGCAGGCAAGGGGTGTGGCCCCAACGGGAAAGGAGAGGTGTGCTGACAGAGGCAGGTGGGACCCCTCTCCCGGACTCAGTTCCCTCCAAAGAGTGGAGTCCGCCAGCAAGCCCCGCCAGGCGAGCCCCAGGCTAGGTCCTCACTAGCTTGCCCTGTTCCTGTTCAGAGCATCTGAATCCCAGGGTCAGGCAGTGTCCCGGAGATAGCTCCTGAGGCAGTGGAGCAGGGGAGACAAGAGCACCAGACCAGAATCCGGATCTGAGTGGCCTCACCTCACCCCACAGCCAGATGCCAAAGATGCTTCGCTGGAACACAGCCTGGGACCTTGCATCCAGACTGGTTCCACCGCCTATCCAGGAACATTAGCTCCCCAGGCCCAAGGAACCACCTGAACAGCCTGGAAAGGCAGGGCCCAGAGAGGGCCAGAGCTGGTCCAAAGTCACACAGCCCAGCAGTGCAGGCCTGGCCACCCTGGATCTGCCCCCAAGTTGCTGCAGCCCTGACCAGCCCACCAAGGAGGCCTCAAGTCAGGAGCAGCTGCAGGCCCAGCCCAAGGGAACTTAGACACTGTTCCCCGCTCTCCCTTGGCCTTTTATCTGCCAAGGACAAGGAATCTCTCCTGATCATGGCTCCCTCTGCTTCTCCCTGGCCAGCTCTGTCTAGGCCGCCCGGGAGACCCTGCAGCCCCCATCCATGACCCCTAATCCACAACCACCCTGCAACGCCGCACTATCTGATAGATAGAAGGAGACATAGAGGCTGACCAGATATTGCTGCCCGCCCTGGGTCATGCATCCGGGACAGGCGTTGTCCTGTCGCCCACTGCCCTTGAGCAGGCTTAGGATGAAACCCACCAAACGCACTCCTATGAAATCCTAAATGGCCCCAGTATGGGGGTGCTATGATGGAGCTCTCTCCCTGGACATTGCCCCCCGATACCCCTGCAGACCAAGGTGACTGGGAAGATGAACAGCGCAGGAGCCAGGGACTGGCAGGGGATTTGGGCCTGCCTGAGTGGCTGCTTGGCAGGGCAGTCGGCTGGGAGGGGTCTGCAGTGGAGAGCCACAGGGCTCTGTCCCTAGCCTGAGCCTGCTCTGCCGTTTTCTCCCTGCCTGGGATGGCAAGAGACACAGCGGTATCAGCAGCAGCATGAGGACTGGAGGACTGTCTGAGTGGTCAGAGCATGGCCCAGACTCCACAGGTGACCCCAACAGGAAAAATTGGGGCAGGGACAAGTTAGAAGACAGAGAGCTGCCTGTGATGGGACACGAGCGAAGTCTAGAAGCAGCTGCAAGTTCCAGGGAGAGGAGACAGGAGGGAAGGTGTCTCATCAAAGGCCCTGTCAACAGAGAGGCATGACATACAGAACAAAGAAGGCCCTTCCTCACATGTTGAGTGGGTCACATTCTGTCCCGGTCAGCCCCCAACCCCCTATATGCAGAGAGGGGACCTGGGGGTAGTGGGTCTGCCCAGCAAAGGTCACTCCAGGAAAGGCTGCAGGAGTGGGGCTGGAGGTCTTCTCCAGACCCCACGGCTCCTGTCCTACGCACAAAAGATGGTGAGCTCCCTGTCCCCAGGAATGTGCAAGCCTCACGCACCAGAGATACTGACTCTGCCATCAGCACCACCCCCTCCCAACACACACACCCCTAAGCTGAATTTAGGGCCAGTGGAGCAGGCTCCCAGGATGCAGCAGAGAGGGGAGTATGAGAAGGCAATGACAGAGCAGCCAGCCTGGAGTTTCTCTATTAATCCTCCAACCCAGCTGTCAGCTGTGTCACCACTGCCCCA